ATGTTGCTGTGACTGCCCCTGCGTAAACTCAGCTTGTACCGCTCTGTCTTTTACACTTCACTATCAAAGGATGAATTTAAATAGCGAGTGAGAACAAGATGGCTTCCTTGTTATCAAAGTCACTGCGTTCCCCATCGACCTGTTTTAAATGCTGGGCCTCTGCAGATCACGGGCAGTGCACAAAATATCAATGATGTTTGTTTAGCTGAGTAATTGTGAGAAAAGTTGGATCGAAATAGAGAGAAGCTGTGGGGAAAGTTTGGCATTACACAGTTAGATAGGTCTATTCTTCTTATGTATGTGAAGCTGTAAGGCAGTAAAGGTGTAATGTATGAGGTGAAATGAAAAACATACACCGCGGCCTTTAACCTCGTAAAACCCAGACATAAAAATATTTGTTTAAAAAATCTGTGCTAATTTTGTAAAGCGGCATTCAACGACCAAATTTAGCAATGTAGCATAATTGCTTCTTTAGGCAGATTTGTCCAGAAGTATTCATCTGATCTGTAAATCCTTTAATATCTAACTTAACCCATGTCACATTATCTGTCACTATTTACTTCAAGGTTCAAAGTTCAAGGTTCAACTTTATTGCCCCCCAAGGGAAATCTGTCTTACAACTTCCTGTAGGCTGATTGATCTTGATATTGTAAAGTGCTTTTTTTGTAGATCTGAGGGGTTCTAACTTAATTACAATTTTAGATTTATAGGAAAAACAAAAACAGTTCAGTTTAAGTAGGTTTTAGAAAATGACCTAAATATTCGATGTATTAAAATCCTGAGAGATAAATGTGTTTTCTGTATCGGAGTGAGTCAGTCTTAGCTGGCGTTCAGCCCAGTACGTCACACACACGTTGATGCTTCTTGGTATAATGCTGTTACCATTTTAGACAGCAGAAAATGATTAAATGTCATAAGTATAAAACAAGGAGGATATTGGTGCAGGATTCATGAGCTCTAGCACATACAGAAATACTTTTACTAATAGTGTTACTATTCTGTTAATTTTTTTGAAGAATTTGTGAAATAAAATGTGTTATAGTTACTTATATAGCTTTACAAACGGCTGTTCCATATATTTTTTAACCTTCTTTGCACTAATAAGCCTCTTTCTAAATGTCCCTCTAAACTAAACAATATGATCATTTAAATCCATGTTGTTTCAGGCTGCTCTCAGTGTCATAATCTCTGGCCGTTAATCTTTTAATACCTGGTGTTAATATGAGTATATAATCCCAGTTTACAGATGACAGGGCTGTGAGGTGATTTCCCTGGATTAGACCTTCTCACATCATTCGACACGTGGGGATGTAAACCACCTCATAGTGAACATGATTGTCTCATTAATACAGTTTTTTCCATGGCTTCTTTAAATGTGTGTGCTGGATTTAACACTATTGACTATTTATGAATATGTACCAAAGTTAGTTGTGGGACAATGTTCAATTCAATTATTTTTTTCTTGTATAGCCCTCAATCAAAACAGTAGTTATCTTTGAGGATGCTTGTTTTTAAATGTTTGAATGGTTTGGCCCCTGTATATCTGTCGGAGCTGTTATCTCTGTATGCTCCTGTCAGATCAGTGAGGTCTGAAAACCAGCTTTTGTTGAACGTGCCCCGGTCTCGTCTCAAAACTCGTGGAGACCGAGCCTTTTCTGTTGCTGCCCCCAAACTGTGGAATAGTCTATACCTCTGTACATTAGAGCAGCTCCTTCAATGGAAGTTTTTAAGTCTAGTTTAAATACACATTTTTACACCTTGGCCTTGAACACCAATTGAGTTTTACCATTTTTACTTTTACATGTATGTGTCTGTATTGCATGCTGTGAAGCACTCTGGGCAGCTGGTGTTGTTGTAAATGTGCATTACAAATAAAATTGACATTGACATTGACAAAACGGTTGAATTCACCAAAAAAGATCAGAGAATCCAACAGTTGAAACTCAAGAAAGGCAATGATAAAAACACAGAGAGCCATTGGTCCATAGGGGGCCGATAACATATGTCCATTAAAAGTTGAAAAGAGTGAATTACAAAATCACTACTTGGGGTTTTTAAAATGATCCAAATCTTTCTGTTGGGGAGGTCTCACTACAATGTGAGCGCTGCAAATAAGTATTCTTCATACAACCCCCTATCAACCTGTTGTTATCAACTACTTGTTATTTGTCTGTTATGATATGCAAAGTATGGGAAAATGGTTCTAAATAAATAATCTACTCTAATGTAATGTTCTTAATAAACAATTGTATACAAAACATATACTTACATGTCACATATATCCCAATATCTGCTATAACGTTTCCTAATATCAGGTCTAAAAATTCCATAATACATTTATCACAATCATATATTGAAAGCAACTTCTCTAAACCATTAATCAATTTTATTGTTCTCCTGTTTACCAACCGTATTTCATTAATTTGGTGTTTATTATTGACACCCACTTGAGACAACATTTAAGCAATCGCACACAAATGATTCAAATCTCCAAAGGGCTTAGACTGTGTATTGTGCACTTTTTCTGTTTGTGAATGGGTTTATTTTAGCTCATGCTTGATTTTGCGGCAAATCTGTAACACATCCATAATCCCACTTTTTTTCTGTCCAATCCACTCTGTTATTCGCATTCCTGGCTCAGTCTCAAGATCGCAGGCAGAGAGACAATTTATGCAAAACAGGAATGAATTTGAGCCCACAATGAGGGAATCTGTAAAACTGGATCATGGCTGTCTAACATGCAGGCCGCCTCTCTTCCTACTGAACCATTTAACTCTCAAAATACAAAAAGTTATGTTTTAGAATATATTTTATAAATCCTCCTATGCATCTTGCTTGACATTCATGCACTGCTGTTTTGTGACAACTCACTAAATATGGGTAGCATTTTCTGTGTGGAGTAAGCACATTCCTCTCCATTTGTTGGTGGGTTTCTTCCATAAACTGTAAATATTAACGGACATACTAACGCCTAACTCCGCCGTTCTAACTCATGTGCCACAACTTCCGCGGTCTCTTGGCAGTTTCAAAATGGCCGTGGAGGCTGGAAAAAGTGAAAAAGCGCATCTGCGCATGCGTCAGCCCGAACCTCTTTCATTTAACCCTTGTATTATGTTGGAAAAAAATGACATTGATTATGTTGCGGGTCATTTTGACCCGTACTGTGTAAATGCACTCAAAACAGTCAAGAAAACAGGTTAAACCAATAACAACTTTATTTTAGGTTATATAAATATTTAGAAAAGTGACATACAATACATTTTTAATTCCAACGCTATATTTAAGAATTATTTAGTCTAATCTTCTTGTCCTCCTCTCGGGTCAAAATGACAATTCTTCCCTCCTTCTTTCCTGGGTTAGGGTTCCTTCTCATCCTGTTTTCCTTCTCTCTGTTCATCCTTCTATATTCCCTTCATTTCTCTTCCTTCCTTCCTGTCTCCCTTCTTTCCTTCCTACCTTCCTTTCTTCCTCCCTTCCTCTTCTTTGACCAAAGATTCGTCCTCTGAAACCTCCTTATCGTAGGAAAATTGACAATCTGGATCAGCAATAACATTGTCCTCTGTCTCTGAAAAATCCTCTGTTTCTGAAATCTCTTCCTCTACATCATTGTCCCAGTTAAAAATCTGTGAAGCCTCCTCAAATGTCATCCTTCTGGAGCTCATTTTTGCTGAGTTTGTCTAAAGCCTAGCGCACATCGACAGAGTAACTGGAGACAACTAGTTGCAAGACGGCTTTTGGCAACTGAGAGCAGATGATGGAGATGATCAGTTGCTGAAATCGGTCGATGTGAGCGCTCTTACAACTGGAGATAAACAGTCGATCTCCGGATTCAGTCAGTTGCCCGTGTTCTACTTTTCGGCAACTAGTTTTACTCAGATCCGGAGATACATGTATCACCCGATGTGCGCGCTCCAACAACATTTGTGTATTGCGTGTATTGTGCCCTCTACAGTTTATGTCAGAAAACACACTGTAGTTGAGGCCAGTTGCTGTCGATGAATGCGCTGTTATTCCCAAGACTGGCCTGCTACTAGGAGATGCCCGTTTTCACCACATTGTCGATGTGTGCGGGGCAGGAACTCAAGGGCAACGGATATAATCAGTTGCCAGTCCGATGTACGCTAAGCAAAGGAGATGACATGAGAACATTGACAAGGAAAAGTGTGAGAAAGTTCCCTCTCTTCACACACCTGGCTCTGGGTCTCAGAGGCAATCAAAATACAATGTCAAAGAGACATGTTTTTTTGGATCTGAACAGCTATTTACCCACATTAAAGCGTCTGGGTCAAAATGACCCGCAACATCATCTTTGTATACAAACTCTGCACAGACATTCCACTACACATCAAAGTGTCCAGATTTTACACACCAGTTCATGACCCTAGATGAGGAAAAGTCACCAAATTTCAACAAGAAAAAGGATAACCAGTACTTTGATCAACTCAAAAACTGAAATGGGTCAAATTGACCCTTAACATAATACAAGGGTTAACAAGAGACCTCAAGAGGTTGCAATTAGTGGAAAGATGGCCGCTGTGAACAACGTGAGCTGAGACCGTCTCCACATAAGTCCCAGTATTTGATGTTATAAATGGCATGAACGCCCCATCGAGATAAAGATCTTAGTCGTTCACGCTACATATATCCACCCCTACGCATTTGGTGAGATATACACTATTTACGAGTGTGATTGGCTGAAGATAAGGTGCCTCGAACGCTGAGCGGCCCATTGTTCCCCTGCAACCATGCCAAAACGCAGATTAAGGGAACCTAAACGCGTCCGTGATCAATTTTCCTCTAGTGATTTTGATGAAAATGCAACGTTTACTCCGGACGACCAAAAAATGTTGCAAGTTATGGTGGAAAAACTTGGAAAACTGGACATTTTGGATGAACTAAAAACTGACGTTTCAGAGCTGAAAAGGTCAGTCGAGTACAATCATGCTGAAATGGAGGAGATAAAAAGGGAACAGATAACGCTAAAAGTAGAGGTAACGAGCATGAAACTCGAAACTACAAAACTGACAACGGAGAATGAGAAGTTAAAGGCGGACCTGCTGGAGCTCCGCTGCAGGAGCATGCGGGACAACCTGCTGATCATGGGAATTAGCGAAGATAAAGGAGAAACTTACAGTATCGCGGAGAACCTCGTCAGAGCCTTTTTGCAGGAGCAACTCGGCATCCCGGAGGAAGAGGTCAAGAAGATCCAAATGGAACGAGCACACAGGATTGGCAAGCGCAAGGAGGAAGGTAAACCGAGGCCCATGGTTGTGAAGTTTACTAGCTCCAAGTGCAAAGACGGAGTGCTTTCTCTCTCCAAAAGACTGAAAGGCACTTCATTCTTCATAACCAGCCAATACCCAACTGAGGTGGTGGAGAAACGACGTAAGTTAATTCCAATTATGAAGTCCTTTAGGCAGAAAGGAAAACAAGCTCGTCTTGTTGTCGATAAACTGTATGTTGACGGTGTGCTGTACAGACATGGGGAAACACGTGAGGAACAATAACAAAGTCGCGCAGTGATTGCGTCATCGCGATATCGCCATGGTGACGACTGGACGGATATGATTTGACCTTTTGTTTGGAGTGTTTCGGATTATCTGGGACTGGACAATGTAGTTAGATGCTGGGAAACGATCAGCGGAGGTTTTATTTTGGGGGATATGTGTTTGTCTGTCTTGTGTGCTGTGGGTTTGCATGTGGTGTGAATGGTGTGTCTGGGGGGTTATTAGTAAGAGAATCAATAAAAGGTATAATAAATATACTCAGGTGTCATGGTTTATAAGAACGATAACGAAGTTGGAATAATCAGTTATAATTGTAATGGTCTTGCAGACAACAGAAAAAGAAAACTTATATTTATGTGGCTGAAAGAAAAAAAACAAGATATTTTTTGTCTTCAAGAAACGCATTCAACAAATTTAGATGAAGAAAAATGGAGAAAAGAATGGGATGGTCCGATTTTCTTTTCGCATGGTCACAGAAACTCAAAAGGTGTTATGATTTTGATAAAAAAACCATTTAATTTTCAATTTAAATCTATGGAAAAAGACTCACAAGGACGCTGGTTAATATTAAATATGATTATTCAGGGTCAAAAGATGTGTGTTTTGAATCTGTATGGGCCAAATGTTGATGAACCTTCTTTTTTTGGAGAAATAAGGGATATGTTGCAGGAACAACAAGGGGAAATTATTGCTGTGGGGGACTTTAATGTTGCCTTGGATAAAGTACTGGATCGAAAAGGGAATTCTTCAATAGATTATCATCCTCAATCTTTACAAAAGATTCAAAATGTTATGGATGCATTTGATTTAATTGATATCTGGAGATTTAAAAATCCTAGGTTAGTACGGTATACCTGGAGAAGACAAAACCAAGCAAGTCGTATTGACTATTTTTGATATCATTTTCATTGCTAAACAAAGTGACTGCAATATCAATTAATGATAAATTGCGTTCAGATCATAATTGTATAGAACTAAATATTGCAATTGAAGATAATATACGTGGACCCGGATATTGGAAGTTTAATCAAACGCTTCTACAGGATGATGAATTTATTGAAAAAACAAAGCAATTTATTAGTGACTTTTTTAAACATAATGTAGGATCTTCAAATCCCCAAATAGTTTGGGAAGCCTTCAAGTGTTGTTTTAGGGGATATGCCATTGCGTGCTCTTCATGGAAAAAAAAACTATTTAAAATAGCAGAACAGGAATTAAAGAAAGAAATTGAGGATTTACAACAGATTATTGATAGTAATGCTAATCCGACTAATGAGCAACTGAATTCCTTTACAGCCAAACAAGAGGAGTTATCTGATTTAGTTGAAAAACAATTATTGAGAACTTACGATTGCAACAGAGCAATCTGGATGAAAAAAGTGTTCAAAATTCTTTCTATATATCCAAACAAAAAATCATTTAAAAAAGAACATTTCCAAGCTTATTCAAACAAATGGAAAGGTATTGACTACGCATACCACTTTGTTGAAAGAAATGGAAAATTATTTTAAAAATATTTTTTCAAATCTAGTAATCCCTCCTGAAACAACACAGGGGTGTTTGCTTGTGGTCTGGGGAGGGTCTGTTGGGCGGTCGGGGGGAGGGCATGGGCAGGATTGTTTTTTAGCCAAACTGTAAAGCACTTTGTGTTGCATCTGTTGTATGAAAAAGCGCTTTATAAATAAACTTTGATTGATTGATTGATTGATTGATTGATTGAAGCTATGTGTCTGTCTTTAAAAGCATAAATTGTTCCAAAGATGTATCTAAACACTGAGTGGTACACAAGTGTCCTGTTGGACAAAAAACATGTACTGTATCATAAGAAATTGTATCCGTTTTTACAAGTGATGCCCTCCCATTTTCCTTATGTAGAGAGTCTGCTGGGAAACATCTCAGGGTTCATAAAGGAAACAATCCAGTCATGGTGGTGTTTTCAATTTTGTGTACCAGAAAAAAGAGATGACATTTTGCAGCAGATAATATGGATGAATTCTAATATTGTAATGTAGCTCGCGAAAATTCAATTTGGTAGACGTCAGCCAAAAGCTACCCCCTCCAGGCCGGTTCGCTTCCCCAGCCTATCGCTCAGCAAACGCCCCCTTCCAATCATCCGTGCCGGACAGGCAGCCGCTTAAAAGCGGAGCAACTCCCACTCTCGGCCTTCTCGAAGCCTCGCATGCTCCTGAAGCCTTGCAGAGAATCGTCTGGAGGAATCGTTTTCGTCTACTCACGCTACTCGGCGCGTCCCTGGCGTCCTCCGTCTGGCTGCTTGTGGTCTGCTCCTCCTCCGCGTCCCTGCACTGGTCTGCTCCTCCTCCGCGTCCCTGCACTGGTCTGCTCCTCTTCCACGTCCCTGCACTGCTGTGGTTCGCATATCCCCACTGCTCTCCTCCTCTGCGGGCTCTTTCTGCGGGCTGCTCCGCGGGGCCCTCCGCGGGTTTCTGTGCGGCTCGTTCCTTGTGGTCTGCTGCCGCACGCAGAAGGTCTGGCGGTGCCGCGTTGTCCCGTTGCTTTTCCCAAGTCTCCTGGCATGTGAGTACAGTGAGTGTGCTGACCGCGGACAGATTAATCCCGGAGTTCTGGGCTGCAGGCGATTGGTTTTTGCCCTACGCACTTGACTGCAGGCGCCAGTTTTTTCGCCCCGAGCTTGGTCTGCAGGCTCCGTTTCACATGTGTTTGAGCTAACTGAGGGGCAATGCATATTAAATGGCATCAATCTCTATCGTCTGAGGGATATACGAGGAGCTATGTGCATTATTCAGATCATGTTCCGCCACTTGCAGTAAAACCATGCATTAAATAGCTAGGTCGCTGGTATTAAATTAGGTAACTAACTGCAGTGTTGCATTTTGAAAGTGCAGCAGGAAGAAAAAGGGCCGAACGTGAATCTGCAATGGGTGTGAAGTAGTGTTGGAGCTATGAACGCATGGATCAGTGATCGTTCATGCGCATCTGCCATAACCAAGGCAGAAGATGGCTCCAGGGGACGTCTGTTATTCGCATGGGAATGTTTCGGATTCGGGTTGATTTATTTCCTCAGGCTGTTAAACAACCGTGGGTTGGTTCTCTGACCGCCGCTGCTGCCGGTCCCCGCTGCCGTTCCTACTGATGCCGATCCCGCCGCCGCCGTTCCTGCTGCCGCTCCTGCCGCTGCCTGTTCCTGCTGCCGCTCCTGCTGCCGTCTGTCCCTGCTGCCTGTTCCTGCTGCTCTACTACTACATGTGCCGCTGCCGTTCCGCAGGCTCCCAGGCTGCACCTGTCTCTGTGGCTCGGCTCTTCCAGACACGTATGTAACCTGGCTCATGGAGACAAGCAGCGCACACTGGCGCGACACGTCTGTCTGTTCGTATGAATCGCTTCGTGGTGCTGCTGCTCCCGCTGATGCTGCTTCTGCTGCTTCATACTGCTACCGCTACTGCTGCCGCTGCTGCTTCATACTGCTACTACTGCCGTGCTGCTGCTGCTTCCTGTACTTCGTCATCTCTCTTCACTTCGCTTCTCTTACTGAAACACTAAACAGCTACAACATATTCTACTGCCGTGGCTTTGATACAGGGTTTTGCCGTTATTATCTACGGATGCTGCTGCTGCTGCTGCCGCGGCTTGATACAGGTCGTTGCCGTTATTATCTGAGGTTACTGCCGCTGCCGCTGCTGCTACTGCTACTGCTGCAACCCACTCTCTCAGAAGCTTATCCTGCTTCTAATGGAGGCAGCCCGGCAGAGTATGCCGCGCTGCACTGGACTCGCACCTGTGCTCCCAGGGTCGCTTCGGCGGTCATGCTTCATCTCTCTACTTAATCTTCTGATTCTATCAGATGCAGCTGGCCGAGTAGCTGCGCTGAGCCGTCAATCGGACTCCTAATCAAAGGCATCCATACCTGTGTTCTTCACTCTTCTGATCGCAGGCTCCCAATCATGCTGCCCATCCTGCAGCGGCACTGAACTCCGGCTCATCTTCCAGGTACATGTCTGCCCTCCTCGCAGCATCTTCCTGCTCGCCTTCCATGGCTTCTCTGCTTAAGCGTTTTACTACTGCTCACTCAACCTTCGTGCGGTCCGAGACACGGCTTTTCCCGACCTTCCTACTGTCCTGATTACCTACTCTCCAACCCAAGATTCTAAGCGTAAGGGCGCCTGCAACATCAATGGCCCTCTCCGACATGTCTCTGCCCCTCCAGGTCTCCGCTTCTACACGGACGTGCCCCTTCCGTGGGTTTTGGGGGATTCTTCCAGGACCATTGGGTTGCCGGGCCGTGGCCGCTACTTTCCACCGGAGCATCTCCTCTGCCCTACACGAGATATTCCCAGTGGTCGTGGCCTGCGCGCTGTGGAATCACGCGTGGCGGAGAAAGAGGATCTCGGTCATGTGTGATAATCTCGACGTAGTGGAAGCTTACACAAAGGTCGCTCTCTTTCACCCAACATTATGTCCCCTGACCCTTTCAACCTTCATCTCAAACAAAGTAAGTGAACCAATAAGATTCTGGTGGCGGCACGCATTTCTCTCAAACACTCTCCGCTGCCGCAGCGTCTGACGGAACGTAATGCGAGCGCTCACGTTCCCAGCGCGCAAAGATAACCCTGCCGCAGCGTCTGGTTGATCGTGATGCGAGCGCTCACGTCCCAGCGCTCAAAGATAACCCTGCCGCAGCGTCCGGTTGATCGTGATGCGAGCGCTCACGTCCCGGCACTCAAAGATAACCGCATATAACGGTCACAGCACATAGTGATAGCGGTCATAGCGTCAGTGATAGCGGTCATAGCGTCAGTGATAGCGGTCATAGCGTCAGTGATAGCGGTCATAGCGTCAGTGATAGCGGTCATAGCGTCAGTGGTAGCGGTCATAGCGTTATTGTTAGCGGTCACAGCATAGCAAAAAATGGTTAGCGCAAAACGGTTCACAGCATAGAGATAGCGGTCACAGCATAGCGATAGCGGTCACAGCATAGCGATAGCGGTCACAGCATAGCGATAGCGGTCACAGCATAGCGATAGCGGTCACAGCATAGAG